ATGCATTACATTCCATTACTATCTACTAAATTAATTTATACTATAATTAATTAAATTGTATTATCTACAAGTATGATACGCATCGTCTATCGTTAAGAATTAATTAACCAATTGCATTATACGAGGTCACATGTGACAGAAGTATTGCACATTTTTTTTTTTTTTTTTTCTTCTTCCCCAAAACTCCCGAGTCATACATGACGTGAGACAGGCGATACGTTTTCATATTTAATTAATAAAACTTGTTCAGTGACAAGACATGTGAATATTAAAATATTTTACTTGCATTTACATACATATATATATATATATATGTGTGTGTATAATTAAATATATAATATATGTATATATAATATATACAATTTGCACGAATAGTATAGATAAGACGGACAAAAGTCAAAATGGAAAAGAAAATGAGGTCAGATTATTTGACCTGAAGAAAAAAGAAGCAGAAATAGGTAAATAAATGAAAAAAGAAAAAATTAATAAAAAGAAATTAAAAAACAAACAAACAAACAAACAAACAAACAAAAATGAGAGTAAAGTAAAAAAAAAAAAGGGGGAAAACAAGAAAAACGCTTTAAGTATTTTATAAATATATTCGTTCAAGTAAATTTCGATATTCGATCATTAGAGCTTGGAGTTCGAAATAATGCCAAAAGGGTTACCACGGAAACCTCTTCCTAAACGAGGTCCAAAACCGGGCGTAATAACTTAATCGAGGTTCCACGTTGGACCGTCGAACATTACCAACGAATACCGACGGGCTATTAAGCAGGATTTCCTCTATAGCTATATACACAAAACTATATAGGCACTATATCCTCTCCTCCTCTTCTCTCCTCCTCCTCCTCTTTCTCCACCACTCTTCCTCATCCTTCTTTACATTTTCCTTCTCTTTCTCCTTACTCTTCTCCTCCTCTTCCTTCGATCGTGACTTTCGAAACGATGGAGGAAAGTAAGAGCTTCGAAATTATACAAATTCAAATTCAAAACGATTTTATCTCTGACAAATATTATTCGTTATTATTCTGATAACGAGGAGACAGCTTGAAATAATCATGAAAATAATTATCATATTATCTTATACATATATATATATATATTTGCTATATATATATATAGCAAATATATTATTGATTTACATAAATAAAATATTTGAATTGTCAAACGATCAAAAGAAGAAGAAGAAGAAGAAAAAAAAAAGTAAGTGATAAAACGTACCAATTGCATTTTCAAAAGGGATAATACATTCGCATTATCTTCTTTCGTGTAGGACTTTAATGACTCGCGAAAGTATCGTTGGGGATTTCATGTTGCTTTTCGAAATGCAAGGAATCTTGTTATCGTGGGAAAACTTTGAAGGATGCTACTACGTTCTCCTCTCTCTTTCTCTCTCTCTCTCTCTCTTTCTCTCTCTTCTTAGTCTTCAGAGTCAACAGTCTATACACCTCTCTGAAACATAAACGAACGTGTTACGTTAGAAAAGCTTTACCTAAGAACTCGCAGTACGTGAGCCACAAACTTTACGTGACAAGATACGACAATGAGAGAAGGGTATTAGTGAAATAAGATATTTGGTTCAAAAGAAAAAATAGTTTTGATGAAAGATTTAATTTAAAATTTTCTTTTCTTAAATTTTTTTTTTTTTCTTATTAATTATTCGAATCCAATCGATTAGAAAGAACATTATTAATATATATATATTATTATTTCACACATATGTGTGTGTGTGTGTGTGTGTAGATAGATATATAATTGAGCTTAAAATCTGATAGGAAAAGAATAAAAAAAAAAAAGAAAGATACAAAAAAATATATAAAAAAAAGATTAGAGAGAGAGAGAGAGAGAGAGAGAGAGAGAGAGAGAGAGAGAGAGAGAGAGAGAGAGAGAGAGAGAGAGAGAGTGAGAGAGAGAGAGATAGAGATAGAAACTAACTACTCAGGATTGAGAGATATCTTAGTAGAGATCTACAAAAAGAATGATCGATACGCATGAACTCTCATGCTACCGACGGCTAAGAGAGAAACCGATATCCCCGTTTGATTCTCTCTTTGAACGTGCTTTTAACTTGAAGCAGCAAGCGAACTCCGACCGTTCGTAGCCTTAAAGAGGTCACGGAAATTTCACCCACGGAAAGCAGCTGATTCGAAGAGCAACGATCGGGGATGCGGATAAGACGAATCTTGGCCAAGCCAATATAAGGTTCCTCGTTCAAACTCGATAAATTCCTTTCTTTGTATCTTCCATTCCTTTGATTCGATGATTTCGTTAGTTTGAATAAAATAACATATAATGAAAGTAATAAAATATAATGAACACTATAATATATATATATATATATATATATATATATATATATATATATATATATATCAGGACCGGAAAGTAATGTCGCTTTCTTAAATTAAATTCAAACAAATAAATTTTTAACAAGTTTTTATTTTTAATCACAATTAAATATCGACATACGCAGAAACGACATTACTTTCTTGTCCACCTAATATATCTGATTATCAGGTTTATATATACATATATATTTAATATATTATATAAAATAATATATGACGGTACATATTAAATTAAACTTTTACGTCTTACATGAAGAATATACGTAGTACTTTCTTCAAGGACCGCTCGTATTGAACTGAGGACGTCTTGATACGAATGATAAATAAACGTGTATCTATCCGTGTGTTTATATGTTTCTGTCCTTTTGAAAATAAATGAGTCGAATGGAGATGGATAATAATAATAAAAAAAAAAAAAAAAAAAGAAAACAAGAGATATAAACGTGAATCCAACGATCGAAACAATATTCTTATGATCTAAATTCTGTCACATTATTATCATTAAACTCGTTTAGAATTACATGACCTCTTGAAAGTTCATATAACTATTATCTAAGCTAAATAATTCAAATGGTTAAATGGAGATATTATTCATGTCGGGAAAAAGAACACATGGGTTATGCGCGTCTCTATATAACAAACTTCTAACAGGTCCATTAAAATGATTTACAACGGGAATATTAACGATAGTAACGAACGAATTTTTAACAAATGTTTCCTTCACGTTAAATGGCAAAGCTTAGTTCAATATCAAGACTAGGGTCGATTAATAGCATTCAAACGGGATTACATCGTAAACGTCAACGCGATAATGAATTTAAATTGTTATTGAAACCTTCGAAGAGAGAGTAGTTAGCAGGTTTAAAACGAACACACGTTCGTCCGTAGTACCATCATCCACCATTAGTAGACACATTGAGATCGATCGATATAGATATCCAATTAGATTTTACGATCGAAACTAGCCCTAATTGAATGTTATTGCGATTGAAAGGAAAGATAAATTTACGGTTAGATGTCTGTCACCGATCAATCTTAATTAAATGAGACTATTTTTTTATTTTTATTTTTATTTTTATTTTTTTTTTATTTTTTTTATTTTTTTTCTTTTGAAAAGAAAAAAATCTTTTCAATATCCAATCATTAAGCAATACTATATTATTATTGTTATTATATAACAGTGTTATTTATTCAGATATCTAAAAAAAAGAAAAAAAAAAAAAAAAAAGAAAAAAAAATTATCGATCATCACGATATTATTTATTATTAAAGCAATCGAATCTTATAGAAAATATCGATATTTATTTCGATATAAAACTATTGAAAAGTCGAGGGAACATATGAAATATTAGAAATTCAAAACATGACTTATAGACCATAAATCCGCCACACCTATGCTCTTACATATTGTTATTTATTTAGATAAAATGTAATGAAAACTTTCGACGTATGAAATATTAAATATTCGAACATACATAACGTATTGAAGCAAACCAATGCTATATTATATTATGTTATATATCATTATTTATCAAAAAAAAAAAAAAAAAAAAAAAAAAAAAAGGTATTCTCTATAAACGGAATACACATTTACAAGCACATAAAGAAGTACACATCTATATAAAATAAAATACCAAAAAACATAAATAATTTATTGACCTATTCGATCTCCATTACTATAAAGTATCATTATTTATCGTTTACAATATAATATAATATAATATAATATATAAATATTATTTATGATAATATACTTGACAAATCAGAATTCTAATCTCTACATGGGGGAAAACATTTTCTTGTTTCAGAAAATGGAGAGAAAGGCGTGATCGGTGTTAACGTTAAGAGAGAGAGAGAGAGAGAGAGACAGAGAGAGAGAGAGAGAGAGAGAGGGAGAGGGAGAGAGGGAGAGAGAGAGACAGAGAGACAGAGAGAGAGAGAGAGAGAAAATGAACGCAAACGGTAACGTTGGTTCTCAGGAGGGCGGCAATGGTAACGATTATGGTGTTAGCAACGAAGAAACCGCCGCCCTTCTGAGTAGGGCACCACCGCCGCCGGTGGTGGTTGCCGCGGCGTCTCAGGGCAAGCCAGTGCTAACGCGACAGAATAGGGCAACTTTTTTGGTTGCCTCGCCGCAACTGTCAGTGTCTGGACTTGGCGGCTCCGAGGAGAGCGGCACCACCGAAGATCCGGCAACAAGATCTGTACCCGACATCGAATTACATTGTCGATTGGACGGTGAATTTCAACAACAATCTCAGCAACAGCTGCAACAACAACAACAACAACAACAACAGCAACAGCAGCAACAGCAACAGCAGCAACAACAGCAGCAGCAACAGCAGCAACAACAACAATTGCAACAACAGATCGTACCACCTACGATTTATCGATCGAGACAGGTGTCTCATCAATATAATCGTTGCCGATGCGATCGAAGGGATTCTCTCGCTCCATCCTCTGCCCTACACTTGGCACGCAGCGTTTCAAGGTAAGTCCATTTTATTTTTATATCTTATAATATTAGGTGGACCAGAAAGTAATGTCGTTTCTAAGCATGTCGATATTTGATTGTGATTAATAATAAAAATTTGTTAAAAATTTATTCGTTTGAATTTAATTTAAGAAAGCTACATTACTTTCCGGTCCCATCTAATATATTACTTTAATTCGAATTAATATTTCAAGTACACGTCGTTTTATTATCTGATATTAAATTTTAATGTGTCATTAAACGTATTTAAATGTGTCGTGAATTTTACGTAAATAATCGAAACTTTAAGTCATTAAATTAATGACACAAGTACGATAATACAAAGTTACAATATGTTTTAACGAAATTCAAGATTCGTATCGTATGTGTTACATTGAAATGCATTTTCTTAGAAATGCTTAACAAGAAATTATGAGGAAAAAAAAGGAAAAAAAGAACAAGAAGAAGAAGAAAAGTAAACAAAAACAAAAAAAAAACAAAAAAAAAAAAAAGATATCTTTCAGTTCGATATCGGCCATCGATCGGATGTTTACGTCATAATGATGGACTACTTATTGTTAACTACTTTTATGCATTAAGTTGAGTGCCAGGCTTATAGAAAATCGGCCACTTATAGACCCGACATATGTATATCCCTTTTATTTCTTATATTTGCATTTACCACAATACTATATATATATATATATATATATATATATATATATATATATATACACATATATCGATGGTGAAAGACATAAAGTGGAAACCAGGGTAAATAAATTCGGCGAGAAAGGCTTTCGCTTGGCATAAAAATAGACGTACTTTGGTCCTGGCTTGATAAAAAAGAAAAAAAAAGAAAAAAAAAAAGAAAAAAAAAAAAAGAAGAAGAAGAAAGCAAAAAGAAAAAATAAAATAAAAAAGTTTTAATAGGAATCGATATTGGTATTAAAGAATTTACGTCACGTGCCCGTCTTTTTAATCGTATAATCTTATTCCCTCGTTTAATGCAAATTAACGCGAACGAAGAAAAAAGATAGAGATATAAAAAAATATAGACAGACTAATAGAGAGAGAAAGAGAGAGAGAGAGAGAGAGAGAGAGAGAGAGAGAAAGATTTTAAATATTGAGAAGTACTCGTCTGTAAATTACAATCAAGTTATTCCGATTTAAACTCGATTATAGAAATTTAATTCGTAATTCGATGCTTGAGATATTCCAAGTTGAAAGATCCAAGTCGAATTAATGCTAAACGTTGCTTCGCGTCTTGACGATCTTTCTTATATATATATATATATATATATATATATATATATATGTGTGTGTGTATATATATGTATATGTACAATATATACATAGCCAGCAAGCACATCTCTCATGATTATCTCGATCACAAGAGTATCGCTAATTATCCGAGAGCTTAATCGAAACGTAGATATTACTGAATACATACATATATATTCATCGTTCTATTGTAATCGCAATAGAGTTGCTCGTTATATAAGGGATTTGCCAGTGGAATTTTGATACAAATCGATAATACACTCCGTGATATTTTGATGTTCCATATATATATATGTCTCATCATAATTTTCAATAAATTAATACTGAAATTTATCAATGGACAAGTCGATAAAAAATATACATATATATACACACACACACACACATATACATAATATATATATATATATATATATATATATATATATATATATATATATATATTATGTAAATGCCAATGATCTCGTACACGATAATTCGGCAATAGTAATATTTTTACTAGATATAATTTTGATTGCGAATGAACGAGAATTCCAAAAGAAAAAAAAAAAAAAAAAAAGAAAAAAAAGAAATCCCTATACTGAACTTGATAATATGGAAAAGATCAATAAACAAGAAGAAATAAATCTTTATATACAATGTTAAAGAAATCTTTCTCATTAAATTTTCTTTTATAACATCGACAAAATATGTTATATTTTTGTACGGACATTTTACGGACGAACATATATATTCATACAACTGTGTTCGTTGTGTATGTCATCTGTATATATGTGCCTCGAAAAGGAATGGTTAAAAAAATCATCTTGCATGTCTCGTCGTTGTTAAGTGCCGTCTTGAAAATTGAATTTAATATAGCGTAGGAAAAAACTCGATGGAAATCTAAAAATACTTTGGGGCCATCCAATTTATATATTTCCCCCTTTTCTCAAAACTTCGATCCGTCGTCGTAACTGAAAGGTTGAAAAATTGTAAAAAGAGTCGCATAAATTATTCCGAGTTTAAGTAAATATTGTATTCTCACGGAATGACGATATATCTCGATAAGAGGTAAGACGATGATGCTCTAAAAAAAAAAAAAAGAAAAGAAAAAAAAAAAGAAGAAGAAAAGAAAAAACATTGCGAAAGGTCAGTTTATTTATTTTTTTTTCCTCCCCATTTTTTGTCATTAATATTTATTACCGTAATTAATCTACTAAATTGTATACGTTTAATAAATTAATAAATTTTCTTACGTTGAATATAGAAAGGATGAATTTACATTTTATGTGATAAACAAGAATATGAAATTTAAATTTCATAGATCGTCATATCTTTTCGTAAATTTCATTAATTTATCTATTACAAACAATGTACGTATTATAATTGTATAATTTATATCTCATCGTACGTTCAATTTTCACGAAGTAATAATAAAGGACATATCAAAAATTTACAAAGGATTTTAAACAAATAAATTAATTATTTTCTTTTTCGAAATTATATCAGGTTAATCTTTATTTTTTTATTTTTTTTTATTTTTTTTATTCTTTCGTTTTTTACTTGTTTCAGATCGGAAACGAAATTCCTAGATTTATGGTTTTTTGATTTGACAAAAATAAATAGAGAAAAATATATATATATACATATATATATATATATATATATATCAGTCTATAAAATAGCAAAAAAAAAAAAGGAGTAATTCTTGCGTAAAATCATTTAGGAACTTTTAATTCATTCTAGAAATTGTTGACCAATCTAGGAAGTTTTCATCCACCCTATACTTTGCTTCATTACTCTCAAGGGTGTTAAATAAACAATATTCTCTAAGTTGATGTACACGAGAATGGTTGTTTCTCCAAAATCATGTTAAAACAACTAATTTATATATATATATACATACTACATACACATATACCTACATATATGGTATACATAAAAAAAAAAAAATAAAAATAAAAAAAAAGTAAGAAAATAAAAATAAAAATGAAAATAAAAAAAAAAAAAAATGAATAAATTCTCTATCGTAGTATTAACTCTTACGTTTTCCATAAAAGTTCAAGAAAGAAAGAAAGAAAGAAAGAAAGAAAGAAAGAAAGAAAGAAAGGGATAAAAGAAAGTTGGTAAAAAAAAAAAAAAATAAGTTCTAAATCGAAACAGATCCATCTTAGAGAACAAGTTAAAAAAGATATTTTCAACAGACACGTGAACCAATATAAAAATCAATTTGAAGAGATTGTTTTCAAGAAGGTATAACGATTTGAAGAGATAGTTTTCAAAAAGGTATATAACGTATTTCTATTTAAAAATTTGTTCTTGAATTTATTTTCGTAAAAAAAAAAAAGAAAAAAACAAACAAACAAACAAACAAACAAAAAAAAAGAAAAAGGACAAAAAACAAAATGTCATCCGTCAAATTCAATGGAATTGAATTTGTCGTCCGTTGAAATCGAAATCGTGTCAAATAAAAGACGTCGCATTGTCAACGATTTTCGTATGATCAACCGTGTTAGATCGGACTCATCGAATCGAATGATGATCGTAAAGAAAAGGTATAATAGAAAGAATTATTTTCCCGTGTTCGAATTTTCGATCGAAACGAAATTCTCTCCGGAATGAGTTTAGGAGGTCAAAGGTCGTTCCTTTTCACATAGATAGACCATGTAGTTACGTACATGGTAGGTCCATTTCGTGGTGACGTTTCCCAAGGGAACAAAGGGAAGAAGGCAATAGAGAGAGGAGGGAAAGGATGGAAGGGAAGAGAAGGGATGGAAAGGAGTGTGTATAGAAGGGATAGAGAAGGAGAGGAGGTTGAGAGGAAAACACAACGCTCGAATTTCGTGGCTTGAAACGTCGACGACGTTTCTACGATGTTGTTTGGCTCGGAAGATTGACTTGGACTTTCGAGGATCTTCCTCTCTTTCTTTTCTCTATCTGTCTTTTTATTCTCTCCTTCTTTCTCTCTCTCTCTCTCTCTCTCTCTCTCTCTCTCTCTCTCTCTCTCTCTCTCTCTCTCTCTGTCTGTCTGTCTCTCTCACACTCTCCTTCTTATACTCTATGTTTAGAACCTATGTTCTCGAACGATTTGACGAGCTTCGAGAGTAAGATTACGAGAAACTGGGAATGTCTCTGAAAATGACGAACCAATTCCTTTTCACGATTCTACATTTTCACAGTGAATAATAAAGTAGTCTATTCTCTCGGGTGGATAGAACGAAGCTAAGATAAATAACGTCGACGATTTATCTGTTTGTTGCTTGTTGAAAAGAAAAAAGAAAAAAGAAAAAAAAAAAAAATAGAAAAGAAAAGAAAGAAAAAGAAATGAACGCACGAGGGAATACGTATAGGGATTTCTTTCGAAGTAAATCGTATCAAATTTTTTTCTTTAGTTATGCTTTCTTTTTTTCCTTCCTTCCTTCCTTCCTTTTGCAAACAAAAATTTGTAAATAAAGAGAAAAAAAAAAAAAAAAAAAAAAAAAGAGAGAAAAGGAACGAAAGAAAGAAAGAAAAAAAAAAGAAAAATGAAAAAGAAATAAGTAATATTACATTTCACGTTTAATCCATGTATAATCTAAGAGAAGTGAACCAACGTAGATTCTAGACACGTTCTGTCAACCTTTTCTTTTCCTTGGATGGAAGAGGATATAAGAATTTCATGAAGATAGAAAAAACAAATACAAAAAAGAATAATAATAATAATAATAATAATAATAATAATAATAATAATAATAATAATAATAATAAAAAGAAAAAGAAGAAGAAGAAGATGATGATGATGAAGATGAAGAAAAAGAAGAGGAAGGAAGATAGAAAGTATGTTAAGAGCAAAGACGAGAACTTTAAAGAACAACAAGAATTTTCAAAGTTTCTTTTAATAGTATTTCTTCGATAATAATTAACGATATCCCACGATACACATATACGAAGAGTATAGGAGGTTATTTAGATAAATAATTGATAGAATAGTATTTTTAGAATAATCGTGAATAGTCTTATTTGCGCATTCCAAATTATAGAATGAAATTTATTTAAAAAAAAAAAAAAAAAAATTAATTCTTTTGTTTACCCTTCTATTAAATTTCATATTCTTCATTTAAAAAGAAAAAAAATATATATATATATATTAAAATGTTTTAAACTTAATAAGTAATTAAATTTGATATAATGAACAAAAGAAAAAATATAAGATAATTTTTGTGTTTTACTTTTTCATTTCACTCATGATAAGAGGATAATAGGAAAAACAATTGTTTAAAATTCATGAGGGGAGGAAAAAAAAAGTCAAAAAAAGGAAAAACAAATATTATCTTCAAATCGTAATCTCTTCAATTAAGAAAATTGTTCGAAGGATATATTATTACACCTTAAAGATAAAAAAAAAAAAAAAAAAAAAAGATAACAATTGAAAAAAGAAAGAGAAAGAAGAAAGAAAAAGAATATGCTTTTACTTGGATTACTTTTCATTAAGTAATACCACTCTAATGAAAACATCGACAAGTTGATTTTCTCGTGTTTCGTGTCCTTTTATTCCGATCAAAGGCACGGGAATTTTATTCAAGCCCGATTGAATTGTCATTAGATCAATCAAATTAAAGAACAAAAAGGAAAGAGAGAGAGGAAAAGAAAAAAATAAAAAGAAGAAAAAAAAAAAAAAGAAAAGAATATAACAGATTCCCTCTCTCTAGATTATTTCCCTCTCTCGACCGTGAAAATTTGACGAAATTTTTAATAGCCGAACACACACACGCGTGTCCTACAGCAGAGATGCAAGAGAAAAAGAAAAGAAAAAAAAAGAAAAAAAAAAAAAAAAAAGGAAAGAAAAAGAAAAATCCATTGATTAGATGAAGACCACGGTCAAATGAAAAATAAATTGAAAATGGAACTACGAAGGATTTCTATTTCCCATCTTGAAATATATATATATATCATAACGGGCGAGAAAGTTTTTCGAATGAACCGACATGAATGGAAAGATCCGATCCGGCGTTGAATTTTTTTCTTTTTTCCTTTCTTTTTTTTCTCCCTCTCTCTCTTCTTTCTTACTTCTTTTTTTTCGTTCCCCCTACCCCATGGATTTAATATACAATCGTACGTGTGAATTATTCATAAAGTGCGAGGTACAAAGTAGATAATGCTACTGGAATACCCAATAGAATCGAAATTGAGAATTTCTACGGCTACGGTATTTCCATGTGACGGCTGTCACATTTTAACAAAGATAATACAATATTCGTATATAGTTACTTGATCCGCTTATATGATATATAAATATATATATATATATATATATATATATATATATATATATAAATACACACATACATACACGTATGTATATATAATACATGTACACCATGTATACACATAATATACGCATGTGTGTGTGTGTATTTATATGTGTTCTTCTTTAACCCAGTATATAGCCTTCTAATTTATTTGATTGAAATTTATATCGTTAATACGATGACGACATGAAGAGATAGCAAAGAAGACGCATTAAAGCTTTTTATTCGACATACCTTTCGTGACATTTAATCGTAAAAAAGGATTCGTGAAAGTAGCGATAACATTCATCACGGTCTACTAGAAAGTAAAGAGAGAGAGAGAGAGAGAGAAAGAGAGATTTGCATTCTCAGGTACTCTCTTTAACTCCTCGACTTCTACTTTTATTTAAATGGCTTCGTAATCTACGACAGATGGAAAATCGTGATTTCATTCGCGTTGAAATATTAAATTTGATAAAAGAAAAAAAGAAAAAAAAAACGGAAAAAAGAAGAAAAAAAAAAGAAAAAATAACAAAGAAAGAAAATGAAAGGAAAAAGAAAAGAAAAAAAAGAGGGAAAAGGAAATAACAAAAAAAAAAAAAAAAAGAAGAAGAACGATTTAAGGACATTAATGAATATTCTATACAAATCGCTATAAGGATTTATACGAAAATAAAGGGGGAAAAAAAAAGAAAAAAAAAACAAAGAAAATACATAAATAAATAAGAAAAAATAAAACGTCAAGAGAGGTGTCAAATAATGGAATTGGTTAGAATAAAAACGTATAAAAAGAGATGAGGAAAAAAGAGAGAAAGACAAAGAAAGAGAGAGAGAGAGAGAGAGAGAGAGAGAGAGAGAGAGAGAGAGAAATAAACGAGATAGAGTGAGGATTATCTTCTACGGCAATTAAGGAAAGGACCAATTAGGTCCAAAGCAAATATCGATTGGTTTGATCTCGTCCATGAGAACCACCATACCACGAATAAACCATACAACGAAAGTTAAAGTATTTAAAATTATTGAAACGATTCCCCTCTTTTAAATGTTACAACGATGATTATCGTTAAACTTGAAATATGAAAATTGAATTGTCCTTTTAATCGGCCGTTCAACGCATCCAAACAAGATTTTACAGAGATAAAATGTAACACCACCACATCGTTTGCATCGAATCGAATCATTTTTCTTTTCTTTTCTTTTCTTTTCTTTTCTTTTCTTTTCTTTTCTTTTTTCATCAGAAGATGATTATCGAAGAAATTGACGAACTAATAATAGTAACCAAGCAAAGTTTTCCCACCCTTCTCCTTCTCCTTCTTCTTCTTTTTCTTTTTCTTCTTTATCTTTTATCGTCATCTTCTTACTCACTTACTTACTTACTTACTTACTTACTTACTTACTTACTTACTTACTTAAACCCGTCGGTCCATTATTATCGTAAAGAATACCGTTATTAGTTCAAAGAAGAAGAGACCCTCTCATCGATCGAGTTAATCAATGTAATAAGAGCCAACGATGGGAACCGATAGTAATTAACAAACAAGTGTCATTTCTTGTTAGAGACGAGAAATTTGATTCTTAAAGTTCGAACGACGATTATATAAATAATTCTATTTAGTAATATGGAATCTTCCGATAAAAAAAAAAAAAAAAAAAAAAAAAAAAAAAAAAAAAAAATAAGGAAAAAAAAGCAAAAAACAAAAAAAACAAAACAAAATAAAAATACCACAATAAGGATGACAAATCAAATAATATATTGTTTTTGAATTTTTTTCATATACGCCAAAAAAAAAAAAACAAAAAAAAACACAGAGAGAGCGTAAAGAGCGGACATCATTGCTGTCCATGTCAAGCACCACCACCACCGGTACTTGTAACAACCTCTCCAAGTGCACGGATAATACGTCAAAGTTCTCAACCAGAGGCCTGCTGTTGTTCCGGATGTTGTTGCAACTTACATGCCGGCATAGCGCCGAGTGCTGCCTCTCTACGGCAATTACGCGAGCCCGGCGACGGAATTGCCGGCATAGCTGCGGATTCATTGAGAATCAACGGTGGAATACGACAATTCCGACAGGTAAGCCGCAACCAATTGTATTTTTGCATTTTGCTCAATGGCACCCCACCGAGCCATAATCACCAACGTCATTACCGCCACACAATCATTTACCATCAACCCATTACGACGACCATTATTATTACCACATTACATCAGAATCACAATTTATTACATTATTTATTAATACTTTGATCAATCACTAAAATGTGCCTTCCTCATATTCATTTTATTTCTAACGACAGAAAGAACAAAGTTCATCCATCGCTTTCTTATATACCTCATCATCATCATCATCGTCATTATTGTTATTATCATCATTATCATTATCGTCATCATTATTGTAACCCTCTTGTGTAAAATATTAACAGATTATTATTAATCTTGATGTCGTTATCTTATTCTCTTCGTTATGGTCATTCTCGATGTATTGTTGTTGTTATTACTTTCTCAATGTTGCTCGTACACATATTCGTTTAATAAATCGATCCAAGATCCAGGATCGAATTCTGAGAGTTATCGCTCTCTATCTCTTTCTCTCTGTCTCTCTCTCTCTCTCTCTGTCTCTTTCTTTTTCTTTCTCTCTTTTATATCTTCCATCTGTGTTCATTAGCCATATATGTTTTCTTATCTTTAATCGACATTGCAACTTCCTGCTATTTCTACCCTTTTCTAATGTGTCTCCATATATTTCGTGTGTTTTTATTCCTTTTGTATTCTTTAACGAGAAAAAAAAAAAAAAAAAAAAAAACAATAATAAATCTAATACGTTCATGTCTACAAAATATAGGAATATAAAAAGGAAAATAAGTGAACGAATAAATAAAGTTCATGATAATTATTTACGAAGAAAAAAAAAAAAAAAAGAAAAAGAAAAAAAAAATATCCGAAGAATTTTACCTCGGTTGCATAATTTACCGACAAAGAGAAATTCTTCTTCCATATCAATCGCAGGATAAAACTACCCCTCAACTTCGAACACACGTTTCTTTATCGTTGGAACTTTTAACATCGCGCCACCTGGCGAAGGGTAGTGAAGTTAATAGTTCGAAGAAACTTAAAAGTAGGGAAATTAGGAAGTGATCGTACCGACGATGACATTTCGAATCATTCGGTTCGACAAATACTAAATGGAGCGACTTTAATTACCCTTTCTCCTTAAAAAAAAAAAAAAAAAATCAATAAATCAAATTACATTAATTAATAAATTCGATCAATCTTTCTTTCTCTCTATTTCTCTCACTCTTTCTCTAAGCTCCTCTAAAAATTTTCTTTTATAGAAAAATAGATGGCACTGTGTGGGTGTTTTCAACCCTCTAAGATTTCATTGCTTATATTTGTTTGCTTTAAGCATAAAAAAGTAATATCGAATGAAAAGCTACAGATCTTCTGTACTATACCAATCGTACAAGTAGTAAAAACGTATGTAAACTCGTACATCGAGCATAAGATTATAATATAGTTCTGTTAACACGTTCTTATCATTTTTCTCACTCTCTCTCTCTCTCTCTATTTTTCTCTACTTAAATATCGGATTACATACCTATCATCACTACTTAATAAGAAATTATATAAAAAGAGGAATAATAAACG